CATGACCCCACAAAGATGCTGTAATTAGGGAAGTAAGTTGAGGTAGAAGAAAAGATGAGGCTTAAAGGCTTCCTACTTAATTTGGGCATGTTTGCATGGAAGTACGAAGATATGGTAGGCATCAACCCCAAGGTTAGCTGCCATTGCCTTAATTTGGACCCCAAGTTCACATTTCACAGGAAAAAGAAGAGAGCCTTGAATCCGGAGTGGTACGAAGCCCTAGAAGAAGATGTGTGAAAGCTTATAACCAATGGATTCATAAGAGAGGTAGGGTAACCAAGGTAGATCTCCAACCTAACCTTGGTAAAGAAATCTAATGGCAAGTGGAGAGTTTGCATAGACTTCTCCAACCTCAACCACACGTGCCCTAAAGGTAACTTTCTGCTTCCAAGGATCGACCAGTTAGTTGACTCTATTGCAGGACATAAGCTCAAGATGCATACTCAGGATACAAACAAATTCGCATACACCCAGCTGATGAGGAGAACACCCCATTCACCACTAATAGAGGCCTTTACTATTACAAAGTTATGTCGTTTGGCTTGACAAATGCGGGGGCTATGTATCAACGACTAGTTAACAGGATGTTTGCCGACCTCATAGGTAAAAAATCGGAAGTGTACATTGATGACATGCTTGTAAAGAGCCTCAAGACTGTGAGCCACATTGAACACCTAGAGGCCACTTTCAAAATCTTAAGGAAGTACCGAATGAAGCTAAACCCGATAAAGTGTGCTTTTGGTGTGGCTTCGAGAAAATTCTTGGGCTGCATTGTCAACCAGCAGGACATAGAAGCAAACCCTGAAAAAATCAAAGCCCCATTGGAGATGAAGTCCCCTTGCAAGTCGAAAGAGGTACAGAGTTTGACGCGTCGTCTAGCAACGTTGAACCGTTTCATCTCCAAAGCAACAAATAGATGTCTCCCATTCTTTAGGTCCTAAAAGGAGGAAAGAGGTTCCAATTGAATGAAGTGTGGGAAGAGGCTTTCCAAGGGCTGAAGTGGCACTTGGGGCAAGCCCCCTTCCTCTCAAAGCCCAAGGTGGGAGAAGCGTTGCTCTTATATTTGGACGTAAGTGTAGAGACTGTAAGTTCAGTGCTAGTGAGGAAAGTGGGTAGCATGTAACTGCCTGTTTACTACATGAATAAGGTTCTTTTGCCAGCTGAATTGCGTTCACAGATGTGGAAAAACTTACTTTGTCCCTTATATCAGCTTCTAAGAAGCTAAGGCCCTACTTCCATGTCCACAATATACATGTGTTGACGAGCCTTCCCTCAAGTAGGTGCTCCAAAAATCGAATGCTTCAGAAAGGCTGATGAAATGGGCTATGGAATTGAGTGAATTCGATTAGCCAAGGACCTCGATGAAGGGATAAGCAATGGCATACTTTATAGCAGAATTCACTGAGATGATGAACATCAATGTGGTGATGGAACCAACATACCCCCCCCCCCCAGTCTGGAAACTGTTTGTTGATGGGTTTTCTAGAGAAGTGGGCTCCGGGGCTTGTGTAGTGTTGGAAAGCCTAGAGGACCAAAAACTTAATTGTGCGGTAAGGATCAATTTCAAGACCTCCAACAACTAAGCTGAGTACAATGCACTGCTAGCAAGTATCAGATTGTCAAACGAAATGCTGGTCAAGAGCATAACGGTTAAAACCACAGGAAGATGAAGATGGCGAGTTCACAATAATGGAATGACATTAACGACACTACGGCAGAATAAGAGATTTGGGTAAAATTTAAGTTAATTTGATTTAGTTGGGCTTGGCTAAAAAATCAGAAATAGTAAAATCATATTTTG